TCTCTCTCTCTCTCTCTCTCTCTCTCTCTCTCTCTCTCTCTCTCTCTCTCTCTCTCCTTCTATGAAAATCGTTTTGTCGAATATGTTAATTTTTTTTCGTAAAATTAAAAATCGATTTTTTTTTGCATTTTCTTATAGTTTAACATTTTAAAGCCGTTATACATAAGCCGACGTAAAGATTTACTCGTAGAATTAGCATATTAGTTCAGAAACGTTTGTGCAAACTGTTTTAATGTTATTTTATATACAATACGTATTTTTTTCCATTTTTACTACACTCGAACGTCTTTTTTACACCCCAAAAATTTTTTGATTTTTTTAAACTCATCACACTAGGTGATCATAATAAAGAAATAAATGTTTATTATAAAAACATGAAAATATTCGAAAAAACGTTTTTTATAGATGGATACTAAATATATGTAAATATATATATGTGTAAATATATTTTCATTTAAATTAAACGTATAATAGCGAGTCCTACTTAAAACGCGTATATGCGGAAAGACGTTTCTAATAAACGGATAAGCTAATTATACTAAATATAAACGTGTTTCCGTTTAAACATATAATAGCAATGTTAGAAATTTAAAAAAAAATGCCTATTACGGTGGATTTTCATTGCTTTTATAATAATTCAATCTTGAATTATTAATTTATACTATATATGTATTTGCATATATTATGTAATCTTTTATTAACAGTTTTCAACATATTAACATCTTTATAATATGCTTGATTGTAGCATCAAATTATTAAAAATTGCTTGTTAATTTATTCGCGATTGACTAGAGTAGTTTTAATTGCGTTTATAGTCGGAAAAACAATTCGGCACGCAGTTCAAAAAGACTACAATATAGTATATATGCAAGTACATATGTAGTATAAATTAGTAATTCAAGATTGAATTATTTAAAAGCAATGAAGATCAAATTTCGACCATTATAGGCATTTTTAAATTCTAGTATTGATTGTGTTTTTCACGGTCTAAATAAAGATTCTTAACATTATATACAGGTATAATAACAAATTCTACACAAGAGAGAATCATTTCGTTTATGTTTAACATATTATATGAAGTTAAACGTTGATATTTTTTAATTTCATAAATATGCGTTAATTGACTTTTATGCAGAGAGAGAGTTTTTATTATATTTATAACTTATTAGTGACATATTGTTAAGATAGTTAAATTTTGGCCGAAACGTTTATATAAAATTTTATATCAAGATTTTAAATATATATGACTTTTTACTATGGAAATCCAACATGTGGTGTATCTTGTTATCAATGTCTGTATATTTATACCACTTTTTATTTATTTATTTTTATTATCCTTTTTATTATCGGCCAAATAACAAAATGCCTTAAAGCACTCAATTAGTGTGCCTTTTAACTAACTTGCTTATTACTGAATTAATTATTAAATATTGTAGCTTTAATTTTATCTGCTTGCAATCAATATCGGTTTTTAATTTTTCTTTTTCTTATAATATTTCTTTAATCTAAAAAATCTTAATACTTTATAATGTTTCTGATAAAAATAAAAAACATATTTTTGTTCCTAATTAGTGAATCCTCCATGCTCGATGGCGCTATTAATGTGCCCCCAATTTGTGCCTGTCCACATTTAATTCATTCATTTTAACATACAGTTACTAAAACAGGTAATAAATTTAAGCTAATTGTTTATTACATAAATCATTATTTCAATTATATTTATTTCAATGTATACTCATAACACAACGTTCTCAGCTCCAATACAGGACACATTAATAGGGACAAGCTTAAAATCTTGCGGTACGTATTACTAGATTCATATAAATTCCTCATATCTTTTGAAAAATATTTTAATACTCAAAAAATAAAATATTATCTTCGGTATCGTATGTATTAATAATTTAACTTAACAAAAAAAAATATTTTTTCTTATTTATTCGTGCTAGTTTTCTTTATGACTTATCGAAATACAAAACCACATTAATAGGGACAGGCACAGTAATTGGGACAGTTATCCAATACAGATTATCCGATAATACATCAAATAATTGAACGATATAAAGAATAACAAATATACTGAAATTCACTTTAGTACAACATATAATATCAAAAATTTTAATGAAAAACAATCTGTTTCATTCAAACAAATAATTTCGCAATAACGCAAACACGAACGATATGTTACTATTCCCTTTGGACAAATGATAATTATGAAACATAAAATCTATCAAAATGAATCCATTATGTTACTTATAATTTTTTATTAACAAATCGAAAAAGAGATAATATGAGTGATAAATACAGTAGAAAACATAGCGCGCTGCTGGTTTGCATAAATTTAGGAAATACAGGGTAGAAAATCGATATCTGCATAGAGATTATAGATGGTGGTTGGTAGGCGCCACGTAGCCGCAGCCTCCGTCGCGACGGCGTATGCGCTACATGTCTATGTCTTCCAACACCATTTTCGACCACCCCAAACCGACAGACCGTCCCAACACCCTTTCCTAACTCATTCCCATTGCCGAAAACTCGGTGTGCAACATTCATATAGCGGACTTCTTATGGATGTTGATGCTTCTCTTCTTTATCCTCTTCATATATATATATATATATATAT